TATCCTTAGTACAGAGGGCGAAACAAGAACAACAGCAACCTTAGTAGTACTAATAGCAGCAGCAAGAGCAGCGCCAGCGGCAACAAAAACAACAACAAAAGCAAAAACAATAATATTAATAATAATAATAATAATAATAATAATAATAACAAACAAAGCGAATTTGATTGATACAAAAACGCAGGAAATTACAATCTTTACAATACCATAAAACTTCACTTACTGTTCTCAAAAAAACTAAATTTTGGAGCGATTTGGCACTTTTAACCAAAACTCTTCAGGAGAAAATTTGTAGGATAATAAACTGACCCCCTATCCATTCACTGCATAAAATTGCCAACTATCAATGATCTTCTTTAAGCCTTTACAGCACCAATACGATGTCAATATCTGCAGCTAAAATACTAACAACATCAAAATCACTATCAACATCAATGGCAGTAAAAGCAACGGCTTTCCAACTGTCACACATCCACTTATTACGCGAAGTACATTCACTCAGTCATTTAATCACCCAATCGTTCACTCATCAATTCGTTCGTTCGTTCATCCGTCCTTCTGTTCACTCAACTCACTTATTTACTTACTCACTTATCCATATCAACAAAATCTCTATCCTCAATTCACTATATTTGCTCATAAATATGTCAATAGTGCAACCAAATCTTCTACTGCTCCACTGCTGCCGCTTCATCATCGTCATCATCATCTTCGTCATCTTCGACAGCAGCGGTAACAACCGATTGTATTTGCTAACTTTTTTGCAACTTTAAAAACATTGAGGCCCAAGAATTTTCAGGCTTCCTTCTATCAAGTACATTTTACCAATGCGTTTGTCTGCCACCAGACTAACCGTTCTTTGATCGTTAAGCTTTTTCAACTGCTATAAATAACCAGCTTTGCAAAATAGCCAAAAATGAATAAATAAATAAATAAATTCAAAAAAGCTGGCAAAGCACAAAAGTAAAATTTGGCTTTGCTCTTCAAGTTACAGCCTATTCATTTCTTGAAACAAAACGTTATATTATGGAGCATCAACATCAACCAATGCAGCCAAACGGCAGCAGCAGTAATACCACCATCGACATCGACATCGCCATCACCATCATCACCAATACCGTCGATATGTTCGTATTGCAGTCTCTTTAATGGAGTTGGAAAAAAAAAAGAGCAACACTAACAGACCAGATGGCGTTTGGCTTACTATAAGCACCCTAAATAAAAATAAATTTCTGCCATAAAAAAACTAAACTCTTCTACTTCTTTTTCTTTTTCTCCTATAACATCACCTCTTTCTACTCCCCCTTCTTCTCCTCTATCTTCTGCCCTCTCCGCGCAACCCCGCACAAAAAAATAAAAAAATAAAAAATTAAGAATAAAAGAAAATAAGAGGCAGAAACGGCAAAAAAAGAATACCCAAAATTAAGTGAATATATTAAAAAAAAATTTTAACATGACTTAACATGACTTTCTATAGATTCTTTTGAACATTTTGTTTCAGAATTAAAAAAATTACAATTTTATATTCGTATCCAATGCTTTTTATTTTTCACTTTTTTTTGTCCCTTCTATCCCTTATTCCTTTAAATTAACAACATCGACAAGGACGACAACAATGATGGCGACGTCGATGACGACAGCAGAAGACAACAACATCTAAAACGACAACACCAATAATGGCAACTAAACTTTTTCCTTTTCCAAAAAGAAAAACAGGAAAAATTTTATTAAATCTACAGGAAAAAGAACATTTCATTGATAGGTGTAGCCATCCAATAAACAAATAACAAAT